TACCTCTTTAGTCTTTAATAAAAGATAAGCTGAGGTCCTTCTCCTTAAATAGTTAATAACTATCCAATTAACAGACAGTAAAGTATTTTTTTTTTATGTTTTTTTTTATTTTTTTTGGCCTGCTATGCAACAATATATTTTTTGTATTGGTTTTTCAGTCACAAGTGCTTTTTTTACTGCTGTTCTACTTACACCTATAGCTTTAGCTGCCTCAGTTAAATTNTTTTTTTTGGCCTGCTATGCAACAATATATTTTTTGTATTGGTTTTTCAGTCACAAGTGCTTTTTTTACTGCTGTTCTACTTACACCTATAGCTTTAGCTGCCTCAGTTAAATTTGTATATTCTATTACCTCTAAAGTAATAAGATTTTTAACTATAACAGGTACACCTATATGTGAGATTGCAGCCGCAGATATTTTAGCACGTGTTTCATATGAAAGTTTTATACCTTTACGTGAGTTAGATACTTTATTTTTATCTTCTTCAGTTAATATTCTACCTGTTGCGGCTAATGATAGATTATTTCTTGTTTCTTCACTCACTTTTCGATTATTTTTAAAAAATTCTATAGTTTTTTCACTATGTTTAAATCCTAATGAAGAACCTGCTTGCTTTAACATGTTATATTCAGGTTTTAATAAATTGATATAAAATTGCTCTCTTAATATAGGATTTACACCTTCACAGTACTCAAGAACATCTAAAGTAAAGTTTGAGTAGCCATATTTTAAAAGAGCATTGTCTATAGTTGTTTTATCTTTCATTAAATGTCTAACACTATAATATTTATATAGTCTAACTGAAAAATTAACTGAACTACCAATATAAGTTTTTTTATTCACATTGTTAGTTCAACGATACACAACGGCTTTATTCCTGTTTTCTTTTAATATACGATCTTTTTCAGCGGAGCTATCACAATTAAAGTATGTTATTATAGGCTTTACATCCGACGCTTTCGCAGAATTAGTACCTCACTTTGATGAAAAAGGACAGCGTTGCTGTCCTTTACTTATATGTAGAAAGAAATTTATATTAGCTTTTTATTTTTAATTAATGTATATATTGGATTAATGTTTATATTCAATTACTTTAGAGGTTATCCTTTCAATTCTATCACAGGGTTAGGCTGCTAACCTTCCTGTGGCCCGAGTACCTTTCTACGTGTACCTCGCTTGTAGCTGCTACGGGTATCTATTCATGATAACTTATCGACTATTATTTCAACCAAATTTAAATTTCCTGTTCAGAATTATAAGTCTACTTGAAAGTAATAAAGCTTTAATATAAGACATTAAGGCTCTTATGGGACAAATGAAAAAAAAAGACTTTAATGTCCTGCATCCTCTCGGATGAGGTTTGACTATATCTTAAGCATTAAATATAATTATTTTTATATTTAACACCAATCAACATTTAGTCGATGAACTGCATACCTAGTATTTATACTGGGTACTTGGCTGCGGATTACCCATTCACTCACGTGTATCAATTTCGATTTTACCATACCACGAGTCATTACCTGTGCCACAAACTGTGTTGCCACGTCTGCTTGGTTGAAATTGCTTTAGGGCTTTCCCGCAATTTGATGATTTTGAGCCGAAGGTTCACTTCGACTTACTGGCCTTAACAGGGGCTTAACCTGTCTTCTACCAGCTATCCTAGTCAGTGTTGTCTTTCACTAACTTACCACAGTTCTTCGGATATCTATACAACGATACAGATTATCTCTTTTACCCTTTTTACGGGTAGAGCTGAGACTTTTCTCCTTAAATAGCCTAAGCTATCCATTTAACAGATAATATAGTTTTATGTTTTTGTTTTTGCTACAAGATATGTTTTTTTAACAAGTCTTTTGTTTAATATTGCTTGGCTTACTGCTCCTTTTGATACACCAAGAGCTTTACTTGCTTCGGTTAAACTATCATACTTTGATTCCTCATCAGTATTTATGTTTTTAACTACAACCGTTATTCTTCTTGCAACTGTAGCATTTACAGTTGAAAGTGCCTTTTTAATTTTAACATCGTCACTTAGTACGAAATCTTTCATTTTGGCAATTGATTCTGGTGTATGTTTATAACCTAAAGTAGAACCTGCTGTTTCTACTATATTATATTCAGGTTTAAATAGATTCATATAATATTGCTCTCTTTTCAGTATATTGTCTTTATCACAATATTCTAATATTTCGAATCTAAAATTAGAGAATCCATATTTTAAAAGAGCTCTATCTATATGTCTATTACTTTTAGCTAAAGAACCTAGACTATAATAAGTATATAATCGAACACTTATATTGATAGAACTACCAATATAAGTCTTGCCATTTTTATTGTTAATTCAACGATAAACACCTATTTTCCCCCTATTATCTGAGAAAATATTTAGTTTATCTTCATCTGCATTGGAATAAGTAACCACTGGTTTAATATTATTAAAGTTAGGACTATTTTCTACAGATGAGTAGTATCTACATAATGTAAATACAAGCTTATTAAATTTTTTTATATGTAGAAAGAAGTTTATGTTAGCTTTTCATTAAATGTTTGTGTGTCGAATATTAATGATTTTAGAGGTTATTCTTTCAATTCTATCATAGGGTTAGGGTGCTAGCCTTCCAATGGCCCGAGTACCTTTCTACTTGTACCTTGCTTATAGCTGCTACGGGTATTTACTTGTAATAATTACTCGTTTATTATTCAAAAAAGGTGAAACCTAAATTGAAGGTAATAAAATCATAACATTAATAAAACTATATTATCCTGCAATGTTTCCATTGAGGCTTGACTATATCTTAGGCTTACGCCAACCACCATATAGTCGATGAACCTTTCTCCACAAAG